TATATATATATATATATATATATATATATATATATATAATTTATATATATCGCGTCAAGAAAAAGAGGTGAGAGAGACGAAAGAAAAGAAAAGAGAAGAAGCGGGAGTGCGGCCGCGCCGCGCCGACACTTCCGCCGCGATCGTAGGGCGGAGGCATCGACACACGGCCAGATCGAAAGTTATACAACAATTAGCGTGACGCAAATGATTGCGATACGCGGCGAGCGCGCGCGTTAATTCCGCCGTTGTTGCGACATCGTGACGGCTTAATGAATTCGCTTAATGCGCTTCTTTTCATTTTCATCCTTTCGCGAATTTTTTCGGAAAATTTTTCGACGCAGCTCTTTCGCAAACACTTTTTGTCCGTTCATCGTGAATTTTCCGAGAAGTTCAACAGAACGAGCAAACTGTACTTTCTTTCTGGAAACAGAAAACTTCCCGAATGTTCCCGAGTAGTTTTTGCCAACGATTTTTTGCCAACAAATCTTTCGTCTTATTGAACATTGCTTCCATCACGTTGACGTGTGATAGATTTATGTAAACCTTTATCGAGATTCAAAGCGGCGTATAATAATACTGCCGTTATAATAAATCTATATGTAAGAATAAACGTGTGATGGAACGAAAGAAAACAAACAAAAAAAAACTGAAAAAATGAACCAAAAATTGTAAGATTCACACTATTATATGGAAGCATCAAGATCCGCTTTGTACCGTTGTTGGCATTTCAAGATCTCAATTGTTAGTTAACTTTCCACGGTCTTTCCTGATACTCAAAAAAAAAAGATCACGAGTTGATAAAACGCAGCACACACTGTACCTAAGTCCATTTCGAAGATCGAACATGATTTTAGAAAAAAATATTAACTAATAATTATGGCTAAAAAATATTTCCTACAGTTTTGCAAACTTTTTCTACTTATAGTACGTTTTTGTACTTCAAATGCTAATCCTTTCTCGTTTTTTGTTTTTTTCAGAGGAGGTCCCAAAAATGTTTACTGTCCAGATTAAACCACTGACATAGTCTGGCAGGTAACAGTAATACGATTTGTCAAGGCAATAAGACATTTTTTTGCGTTGTACATATAAAGGAAAGAGTCCCGAACTGGAGTCCCGTTTTATAAATTCTCTGAAATACGGGACTTCTATTCATAAAAAAAAAAAAACGTAAAATGCACAAGTGTGTAAGGTTGGGTGCAACGGTGGTTTCAGTAGATGCAAATTAGAATCCTTTAAGATTTCCGCCAGAGAAAAAAAATATGAAAAAGAATATCTAACAAAGAAATAATTGTGAACCGTTGATAAACGATTGCAAAACTTATATCCGTGTATACGTTCATTCACACGATTCGGAATTAACGTAAAATTAATTTTTGTAAATCTATTTTATTCCCAGAAAAATACAATTTTGAAAGGTTTTAGATGGCCAATTTGATTAATTACGTGGAGAACAATGTTGATTTGTATGACATTTCGATTTTAATTATATAAAAAAAAAAAACAATAATGTAATGTAACATGGAAAGAGCTTGGAGAAAAAGCCAATGAAGGAGCAAAGGTACAATTAATAGCGTCTCTCTTCCAGATTTATTTCCCACGTATCATTGACGGCGAAATGGGATTAATGAAGGGGCATGTTACGCGAAATATGCCGATAACGAAATAGCGAAGGAATGCGCGATGTGTCCTGGGCAAAGCTGACTTGCTCCGCTCCGTAAAGTAGCCGTCGAGAGAAAGAAGGAGAAAGAGAGAGAGAGAAAGAGAAAGACAGCGAGTAAACGAGCGAGCGAGCGGCGAAAAGAATATAATTAACTGCATGCATCATACGCAACGCGCCTCGGCGCGAGTGATCCGCGCTCGCGGCGCGTTCAATGGCTGCGATAAGAGACCATGACGAGGTATGTGCTGAAAGCGTACGAACCCTTTACCTGAGGCCTCTCGAGTCCTACCAGGAAAATGTATAGCGCGCTGCGCACGTTTCGCACAAAGGCTGCCTCAATTGCCTGTGGGCTTCCGCAACCTTGGTGCCAAAAATGGAGCCCTGCGGAGCACTTTCAGCAAGATTTGCTAAAGACCGAAATTAGCATTTGATAAATGAATCGTGGCATAAACGAGTTTTGACTAGGTTTGATAAGTCTATTATATATATGCTTAAATATATTGAAATTGGAGTATATATCTAATAAAATTAGTTTTATTTAATTTGTAACGAACTACTTAATTTTTTAGATTTTTTTAAATTTCTGACTGTGTGTAAATTGATGTTTATTCCACACATGAAAATCTCCAAAATAAAATTATGTTGGAGAATGGGAGGATTCATTATATATTTCTATGCTTCTTGTGCAATATTTTGCGTGTGTAATTACTTATACAATCAATTTACGTTTAGATTAATTTACTTTTAATTTCTCGCGTATATGTCACAAGGAGGAAATTTAGAATGATTTTGTAAATCTATTGTTTTACTAATCCGGACGCGCGTCTTCCATTTGCCCGCCATGTGTTCGCTTCTTCATATTCTTTTTCTTCGCTTTAACCGCCCCTCTCTTCCTCGTCGCGCGCGTTATTAGTGAAGGTAACTGTGTAACATTTCGAAATCTCGTTTCTGCCAATTAAACTCAAAACGCGAACGCGCCGCAAGGAGAATGAATTCTTCGTTGGTCAATATGAATTCACGACGCTTGGCGTATACGTGTTGCATCGCCTCTCTCAAAAAAAAAAAAAAAAAAAAAACAGCGAATTGTGCGCTCGCCGTTTTTCTCGCTTCTGAATTTTAATCTTCTAGTATTCTCGTTCGCCCGCCGTCGTTAATATTAAACGTGGAATAACGTTTAAGAACGACGAGGAAACTCCCGTCGAAAGCGAATCGATTCGCTCGAATCGTCATTGCGAGCCGTCCTTATTTTTTCGACCCAATAATTCCGCTTGCCGCGCGCAAAGTTCTGGCCAGTCCGACAGCGGAAAGGCCAAAAATAATTAAGACGTTAAAATTAAAAAAAATGTTAATTATACGCCGTGTGCTACAGTAGGTCTTTTTACGTATTTAATTGTGAGTTACAATTTTTTCACTATAAATATCAAAAATATTAAATTTTAATAAAATATATAATATAATACATTTTAATTATTATTGCTTAAAAAAATTTATTTGTATATAATAAGTATGTAGTAAAAATATTATATCATTAAAAATTAAATTTTGAGCGGCAATAATAAAAGAATATTTTTTGTTTCACGGAAGATACAATTCTCCATAGGATATTTTAATATCAACGCAGTGACTCTCGTACATAATACGTTCTCTCATTTAGAAGATATGCCAATATTCGAGATTGCTCCTGTTGTTACGTCCTGGTAAGATGTGTGGCTGGCAATACCTCAGGTATAAGTTTTTTTTTTTTTCGGGATCGGCGCCAGTGGGCCGATCCCAAATGTTCAACAACGGGGAGACTACCCAATAAGAGCACCGTTATAAAGATCGCTCCGTCGTGCGACTCCATCCACCGCGGATGCAAAGATGGTGGGATGGTGTTACAGGGTAGCACGGGTAATGCAAGGGGCGGTGGAAAGCACATCGGTAGATAGCGGAAGAAGAGCAGCGGCGACTGGTAGAGTGAGAAAGGAGCGGGAGGAACAACGCTCGTTGCTCGAGTGGGGGGTCCACGCAGTTCTCCCGGATCGTTGTAACGAGGCCTCAGTCCCAGTCGACTGCTATCGTAAGGCCCGTAGCAGTAAGGGCTTACAAGTCAGACAGTACGTTTCTACTTGGTCTACTTTCGGGACTTAGAGCCGCGCTCTCTCGTGCTTACCGTTGAAACGGTGAATCCTACACGGAGAGATGCCTACCCTTCTCGCGACGTCGAAAGGGCGCCCGGAGTAGTAGACGCGCTCGGAACGTATTATCGGAGCCACCACGATCGCCGGTGCCGCGCGAAGAACACACTTCCGCGTTGACGTGCTTTTTTTTTTATTCTTTCTCGGGATCTTCCTGGTGACAGTGGACACGTGAACCCGTAATTTCGGTCGATCGATTTCCGTGAAACGGTCTCTCGGTGGACTAGTGTAATGTGCTGAGGAATCGAATCCGAGACGAGAATTCGTTTTGAACGATCAGCGACATTCGGCGACATAATTCAAATGACATGGGAGCTTAGCAGTGCTTTGCAAGCTTTTGTGAGAACTGAGATAGAGCGAGAAAGAAAGAGGCGGATAGAAAGAGTAGGGGAGAAAGAGCGCAGAGCGAAGTTAAATTGTCAGCGAAAATTGAAATTGCAATATATCAATAAATATAATTATTGACAAAACAGAAGAATTCACAAGTATCGAAGAAGAAGGGGTAAGTGGGTCAGCGAGAAACGGAGCTTCGGGTGTCGTTGGCCCATGAAGTCGATGGAAATACTGATGAATGAAGTTCGAGGACAACAGAGATCGAAGAGGCACAGGAGGAGAGCCTGGGCTAGGTCAAGGACTTTGTGCGGGAATCCTTCTTTGTGATCCACGGCGGTCTTCGCTCACGCCTGTCAACCTGTGGCTCGCGGGACGGTGAAACGAGGAGGAGCGAAGGAGTCACGGGAGTGGAGTTGAAATTAATATTAGTCGTGTCTAATCCTCTCGCGGACGAATTCTGATGAATCTATGCACAATATATTCGGCCGTCGTCAGTACATTCCGCTCGTGCTTCGCGATTGTGTTAAAGAACAGTGCTGTTTGTCACATACGTTTGCGCCGCGTCGCGTTCCTACCTCGGTACTCCGCCGTGAAAAGGTGAATCGCGCGGATCTAAAAAGTGCTAAGAAAAAAAATCTTTGATATCCATTGTTGGGGGGGGGAAGCCGGTCGATCGGGTGATAGAGTGTGCGTCGCTCTTTGGATAGATTTATAAGAGGAGATCCTTTGTGCGGTGGAGGCCCATCAACGAAACCATTCTGGATACCAAGCTACTCATACGTAAGTTACCGATGGATGTTTCTACGTATGTTTCTTTTTATTAACGAGCATGCTTCTTTAGTTTGCATGAATGTATCGATGCGCAGTATAATGTGCAAAGAAAAATAAAACGATAAAAATTGAATTTGTTTGTCGGAAAATGGTCGAGCACGTTTTACGATTTTTCGCATTTGGATGTTCATGAAAACTAGAGAGATTCAGCATGCACGTTTCATACAGAGCGCTTCCGAATTTGTGATACAGTTGAGAAGAGTGCGATTCCTCGCGAAGAGATCAATCGAAAACGAAAATTAAAATAATTTCATATGATAAGCGTTGCTCCTGAAAAAATTTGAAAAACGGGAAGTTATATTTATGCCTTCGTAAGTATAAATAATCTTTAATGATCTTGTCTGTACTGTATTGTCAAATTTAAATAATTTATTTAAACGATTTTTTTCTCTCTTTTCGGACGATATCAACAATACAGGAAGACTCTGTATATAACATTCGCTCGTAATATTTATATACATATATTTTTTCACAATTATTTACGTATTTATTCTAGCTTGTATGTATTAAACTAGTTAAATTTAAAAAGTAGAAAAATCTAAGCAAAACTATATATGCAGGTTGACGCGCAAATGACTGTGCGATATGATATTCGAGGAACTTTTTTTTAGTACGTTTTTCGATATATTCGCTAAGTGAGTAGTGATATCAATTTCGACTTCTCGATTTTTGATTGAAGACGATCCGTAAGAATCGAAATTAATATCGCTACTCACAAATCGAATACTATTGCGCGAATATGTAAAAAAGCGTATTTTGAATATCATATCACATGTACATCTGCCCCAATCCGCATACATGGTTTTCTTAAAATTTTTCTAAAGCCTAACCAGTTTAAAATATAAAAATAGATATAAATAAATACTATGATAGAATTATGCTGTGTTAATATAATAATTTGAATACTATATTATCTTATACACCTGAACTTGGTGGTTAATACTAGCCTGTAATCTTCATTCATATTTTTTATCAAGGACATTTTTATGTGTTAGCACTTATTTAATAGAAATCACGCGATTGATTACTTAATACAAACTATGCAATTGCAGAAAAAAAAAACTATTGATATTATCGAATGCTTTGCGTCGTTGGCTAATTCATATTATTGATTACGCGGTTAACACCTGTGTCATTGGCAAAATCTTTAGGAGCAGAGAATTTTTGGAATATCACGAAAAACCTCGGCCGTAGTGGAGTTCCATGATTTTACGAATCGTTTGCCGTCTAGTACTTCTTGTGCCACATACGTCACTCGAATTACCACGCTTTCTAACGATAGAACTTCGTTCGCCACTCACGATAAGTAGTCGTCTATTTGTGCGGCCGAGTCAATAATTCTGCGACAGCGTCGAATCGATCGAAGCCCACATCGCGTTTACCGATATCGTATCGACGCGTTAGGGCAAGGTCAAGTTTATGTTCGAAATGTATTTGGAAATTCTGGAAGTGGAAGGAAATCCTCTAAAATCCTTCTAAAATCGAAGTTTTTGACCGAATCTACTCAAATCAGAGGCTTGTGATATATGAAACAACACATTTTGATTAATTTCTAGATGTTTTCTAAAAATTTCTTATTAGATCGTATAGATTGCAAGGTTGGTAGCACTCATGTACACACATATACATACACACACACACACACACACACACACACACACACACACACACACACACACATACATATATATACATGTATACAATTATAGCAATTTTTATTGAAATAAAAATTAATTTATCCTCTTTTTATTTACTACTAAAATTTGATTTCGTATCAATGTTAATAAAATATTAATAATTTTTTGTGTTATATAATATTTTATCTATTGTATCAACTTTTTTTTGTATGCTCATTTTTGTAAAATTGTCGAAATCATATTAAGAAAAAGCAATATGTGTAGAAATGTACAAGATTTTCTTACAAGATTAAAAGAGGTTAAAGGGTCAAGCATTTTTTCATCACTACTTTCGGGTTAAAGGCAAGTCTTACTGTATAGTCTTCTTCCCGCAACGTAGTCCGCATTATGGTGTGCGCTTTGTCACATTCCGTTTTAACGGTGAAAATGTCATGAAAAAGTTTTTGTCAGCCAGAAAATACGTCCGATCTTTGAAAAGTATGTCTGTTTCCGGATGTTTAAAAACGAAAATTTTACGCTAATTTTCTCTGGTTAATAAATTGGTGTATATGCATCTAAAAGCCCCGTTTTGGCAGGTATTCTGGCAAATTGGCTTCGAGACCTCCGAGGCAATAAATTTCTGATGAAAAGACTATTTTCGTTCTGGGATAGAGATAGATGCAATACTTGGACAATACAAGGTACCGTTCAAAAGACCGAAAGGGAAATCTTATATAATAGAAACAAAAAATCTTAAGAAAGAAAACGTGGGTGCCTGGACATATATTTGATCCACAACGTTCACGCGATAATTTTCACGTAGATTCTATGATGTGCTTCTGAGCTTAGAAACTTGAGGATTTCGATGCCGCCATAGCCTCATGACGTCGCGAGTTTGTTAATATAATAGCACACTACAAATTAAATTTCATAGCGCGTTATCTCATCTTTCCATTTAAGGCTAATCCGAGTTACTTCGAAAGCGAATAGAAGCTCGGTATGTGTCTTCGCGATTATATCTTCACGTTTCTCCCTCCCTCCCCAGAGGGGTTTCTTGGCATATTGCAAAAACTGAGTATTGGCTGTTATAGATATTCGGATATCGACGTCGCGTCGGCGACGACGGCGTAAATCACGTACACTATAACGACGAGGACGGAGGCTGCTAGGTTTGCGGTGAAATTTCTCCGGAACGACTTCCTCGCCCGTTCGCTAGTGGGGGGTCCGGACTTGTTGCTCGAGGTTGTAGACATCTCGTAAGGCGGTTCGTTGCCTCCACGATACCAACCCGCGATTGGCTCGGGACAGTCTCAGTGTCAGGTCGTCGATTTCTAGTGGCGCGTGCTTTTTATGCAACGGGCTCCTCTTCGCCGCAGCTCGATTTCGATGGGGACGTTACCTCGATCGCTCGATTAACATTGTATAGGGAATCGACGGCGATTTATCGCGAGAGATGGCCGTGTAATTGTGTTAGAATATTGATGGACGTTAAGTTGAATATCTTCCGTCTTTGGCTTTATTAAAATTGCACAATTCCTCGAGCTAGGCTAATCTTCTAGACCGATCGAGTGACAATGATGAAAATTTCATTCAAGAATTTTTCACGCAATAAATAGACGCAGAGAAAAGTCTTTGCGAAGTTTCTAAGTCTACTTTTATGTCAGCTTTTGGTTTCTTCAACGTCGGTAATCTTCGTAAACGAATGAGTCTAAAATTGCGGCATTATCGTGTCAGTTTATTACTCAGAGATCGAATAATTTATTAGGGCGACGCTGTTCGTCGGGATACGTATGTTTCCCATAACTTACGTTTTTCAACGGAAAACGGCGGTTGAAGCAAAAACGTCTTTATTTTTTGTCTCGTTGCCCATTGAATTTGCAAAGTCTTTCAAAATCTGTCGCCATGTGTAAGGATATTCTTTACAGTTATATCGTCGATATATTTTAACACAAGAGCGAAGGATTGTGATTTATGTTGAAAGTTTACTGTTCAATTGAACAATTTATGTATTTCGATAAAATATGCTATTATTAATTTATTAAATTTATTGACGATATTTAATGGTTCACAATCGTTTCCCTCAAATTCCAATCGTAATTCTGTAAGACACCTCGCATCGAGCGCTTCACGATTTACGGCACGAAAATAAAGTGTAAACGAAGTGTTGGGACATCCTGTACATTGGCACGAATAGAGTGCTAATGCAGAGAATGTCTTAACATATGGTGAACATATACTTTATTTTTCTGCATTTGCGTCGCAAATTGTAAAGCAAATTGTTGCTGCAGGCGTTTCGTGGTATTAGGGTTGGGATTTGAGAGACGTAATTGCGGGCCATTAGGGACAAAATATTGCCACATATGATACTTCCAATAAAGTTAATTAATTAACAGTAGATTATTTAAATGATCGAAAGCATAAAGATGTCCGCAATCCGTTGCTTAAATAGTCCACAATGCAATACGCGTTAAGTTTTGCATAAAACGTGGATATGTATTTGTTTATATATACTTATAACTTTCGCCGCATTTATTGTGACCCTCTTCGGAGGGATGTAAACGCTTAATTAGAAATTTATGCACTGCATAAGTAATCGATCATTTTGCAAAATATTAAAGAAAGACAGCGCTATGAATAAAATGCGCTGAAATTAAAAATTAATAAAAGACATTGTTATTTGTGACCAATTGTGCGTCAGTGATCCAGTGACATTTCACACACCGGCATCATTTCGCTGAAACGAAATAATTTTACAAAAGCAAGAGAAAGAGAGGCAGAGTGAGAGGTGGCCGGGGGAGGGGGCGGAGGGAGGGAGACGTGAGAAAGAAATGGTGAGAAATAGAAGCGGAAAGGGAATGCGGGAGAGAGACAAGGAAAGAGAGAGGAAAAAGAGACGAGAGAGAGAAAAAGTAGCCGGCTGCGGGAGAAGGACGGCAGAACAACAAGTGTGGTGGGGTATCCTCGCTGCGGTGCCGCGGTGGCTAGAGAGTAGGTCAGTGTACCACATTAACCGGTACTCCGTCGGAGGGAGGGATGGAGGGAGAGGGAGGTCTTCCGACTCGTCGGTTCCGTAGAGCCTATAGCTATACCGTGAGCCGCATCCACGGTCGCTCACGGCCGTCCGTGGGTACGGGACCCCGGCGGCGATCGCCCACGGTCGTGTCCACGGGCGTCTACGATCGCACGAATCCGCGCGCCTAGTCATCCGTGATGGTCGGTCGGTCCGACGGGCGATCGCCCATACATAGGCATACGTAGATCGACGTGCGCCTATCCTTAAAATAAGCCTATCTTTCAATCTTCTGAAAAATCCCCTTCCCGAAAAATCGTGTT